TTTTTAATGTATTTAGTACAGGGTCTCACTACACAGATCGGACTCATACCGATCCTTCTGTTTTCAGCTTCCCAAGCACTGGAATTACTGGTGCGCACCACCATTCCCAGTCTCAGTTGTTGTCTCAGCACACCCTGGGCGCAGGGCAGGCCACCACGGTATGGCACAACACGCCAGGAATTGGACCCCAGTTGCTGCACCTACCTAACAGGTGCTTTAGTATGCTGAGCTATCTGGCCAGCCATTTTCTATAGTTTTTTTTATGTAACATAGTCTTTATTTCTTTTGGATAAGTAATGCCCAGTAACTCAATTGCTGGGTGTTATGGTAGTTGCATAATTAAGGAATTTCTATGGGCTGGGGAGATAGCTCAGAAGGCTAAGCGCCTGCCTGACAAGTTCAAAGACCGGAGTTCGATCCCAGATACTGCATGCCGGAACCAGGCGTGGTGGCCTATGCCTGCCTCTAATCTCAGCGCTGGGGAGTCTGAGACAGGAGGATCTCTGAGCTGCATAGTGAGACCCTGTATCAAATAAATAAAATTAGCAAGAAAGAAACTTCTAAATGTTCTAGAATGACTATGCCATTTTAAAAGACTATGCCATTTTTCCACTAGCAATGTGTGGGTAATCCAGTTTCTTTGTATCCTCACAAACATTGATGCTATCTCTATTTTTTATTTTATATATCCTGATAAGTCTATAGTCATTCTAATTTGTTGGTAGTTTTGTTTTGTTGTGTTTTGTTTGAGACATGGTCTCACTGTGTAGTCCAGGCTGGCCTCATGGCAATCCTCCTGCCTCAGCCTCCTAAGTACTGGGAGTGCAGGCATGCATCACCACACCTGGCTCATTCCAGTATGTTTTAGGTTCATCACAAGTTAGAACTTTATTCTCATGTAAATATATATGTGCAAATATACAAGTATATATTGAAATTAGCAGCACAGGGAATACTAGATGGATTTGGATGGAATCACTCTTTTGCTGAGTCTGTTTACTAAACATTAAGTAGGGTAATGTGGTAAAAGAGTCCCTATTTCCACTAAAGAAAATTCTTTTATCTAGTGGAGGTTAATAAAAGATAATTAAGTCTAGTATTTGTTCTTGTAGTTCTAAAGGTTTACTTGGGCTGTAACTGTGGAGCAAAAGAAAAAAGTTATATTAACTAATACTAAAGCCTATGAAATATAGGCTGTTGAAGTATCTAGGGTGGGCAGTCAATTTCAGAATTTTATTTGATTGAAGTAATTAAAATAAAATTTAATACGATAATTTTATTCAAATTTATAGTTTTCAGTACAGTTTATGTTAAACTGTCCCGATTCATTTTTCTTTTCTTTTTTTTTTTTTTTTTTTTTTTTTTTGTGGAACTGGGGATTGAACTGAGGCCCTTGCGCTTGCCAGGGAAGCACTCATTCCACTGAGCCATCTCCCCGGCCCCCGATTCATTTTTTATGATTTTATTTTTATGTTCTTTAGGTCTACTGAATCTTTTGTATTATAGGTTCCTTCTTTTATTAAAACACTTTTTATTATGAAAAAATTCAAGCAAATAGAAAAGTAGAATAGTAATAAATCCCAATGTACCCATTACGCAGTTTCAACAATTATCAAACCCTGCCCAATCTTATTTAGCTATGCTGTCACCTTCTCTGAAGCAAAACTAAGACATTATGTAGGCATGGGGATGTAGCTCAGTGATGTAGTGCGTGCCTGGCAAGTACAAGGCCCTCAGTTCAATTCCAGGTACAAAAAAAAAAAAAAAAAAGATATTATATAAATTCCTCCATGTATACTTCAATAAGTATTTCTAAATGATACAGACTTATGAAAAACAGAAAAGAACACAAGGAAGAGAAGAAATCCATACTGTTTTCAAATAATTAGTGTTCCTATTTCAAAGTCTCATGTCTTTTCTCATTGTTTCAATCAGGTTCAAAATAAAGTCTACACATTGCTATTAATCAATATGTTGATTTTCTTCAATGTTCTAAGGTGTCCCCTTCCATGCAATTTATTTATGGAAGAATCTGTTAAATTTCCATACCCTACATCTTAATAGTTGCATTCCCATTGGAATAGTTTTGCATATTAGCAAATGTTGATGCTCTGTGCATGGTTCCATTTGCTGATTCATTATGTGTTGGCAAAATGTGATTTTTGTCATTAACATTTCTATTTTTAAAATGAAATATATTTATAAAAAAAACCTTCCTCATCTTCTATTTGGTCTAATTTGTATGTAACAGTCTAGAAAGCTTACTTCTTTCCCTTTCTTTGATATTTTCCTTTCAATGACTTGGTTCCCTAGCATCTTCCAAAACCTCAAGTAGTGGTTCTTATTTTTTTTTTTAAGTATTATTGTGAATTTATGGATTTGAGCATATTTGTGCCACTCATTCTGACTTGTCGGTATGTGACTTTGGCCTTTACCACGATATGTACCAGTCTTATTCATTAGGCTGTAGCCCTCAGGCCCAGTTATGTCTGATTGCCGCAGCGATGATCTCCTTTGAGACAACCACATTCATGTGTCTGTTTCAGATTTCAGTAACGTGATCAGCAAGAGTGATGTGAAGTCACTGGCCGAAGCCGATGAGCAAGAAGTTGTGGCTGAGGTTCAGGTAAACATGCTGGTCCTGTACCACAGTCTTTATATTGGCTCTTTTATAAGACTTTATTTGAGGGGCTGGAGAGATGGCTCAGTGGTCTAAAGCACCTACTTGGAACAAGCTTGGCAAAGCACAGGGACCGCGGTTCGATCCCCCAGCACCACATGCCAGCCAGCCCCGCCCCCTGGTGGGCTGAGCTGGCCACACACTAAATAAAAATGTAATAAATAAATAATTTAAAAAAAAAAAAAAAGACTTTATTTGAAAATAAGGAATGTGCTATCTCAAAAGAAGAGAGACTATTGGTCACATAAAATAGGCATTGTATTGGATTATATTTGCATTTAGAAAATTTGGACTATATCAAAGTTGATAGGAATAGAATTAAAGGAATCAGTGGGAAGATGGGCTGATAATTGGTAGTTAGGATTTCACAGGGTTTAGGACAGAGTAAGAGATGTCCTGTGTTAGTTTTATAAACCACACTGAAAATGTTCATCAACAGGATTATACTTGATTGAGAGAGAATAGAAAGCTAAGGTTGGGGATAAACTTTCTTAAAGTTCTCTTTGTGATTATCATGCTTTGGGAGGTGATATGTAAACTTTTATTGTTAGGTTAAAATTTGTTAGCTCCTAAACATTTACTCTGTTATATAGTACATCACATTAAAACATTGTATGTCCTTTGTGACTGTTTCAGTGTTCTTATATACATTTATCACATGGTCTCCAGAAATACCTTATAATGTGTATCCTCTACAATTTTTTTTAGAAAGTTCATCATTATTACTCTTTCATAATTATTTTAATTCCCCCAGGCAACTATTGTTACTCTATTATTTGAACTTTTTTAAAATCTCTTTTACACTGGGGAGATGGCTCAGTGGAATAACCGCTTCCCTGGCAAGCGCAAGGACCTGAGTTCAATCCCCAGTTCCATAAAATCTCTTTTACACCTATATTTTATTTGATTTATCAGAGTATATGACATACATAGTATTTTTGTTTGATATAATTGGAGTTCATGCATGGACTGATGATCTTGGTGCTTTCATTTGCAGGAATTTTACGGCGATTACATTGCTGTGAATCCACATTTGTTTTCCCTTAATATTTTGGGCTGTTGTCAGGTATGGAATGGAAGGATAAAAAAAGTTAATTTATCAGATGGGAGTTAATTCAGTAAATAATTGGACTTTTTTTTCTCTAGTAATTGGACTTGTAAAAGAAAATCCAAATATATTTCTGTAAATATATGTTTTTAACAATAGGGTCGAAATTGGGATCCAGCCCAGCTGTCCAGAACAACTCAAGGACTGACAGCTCTCCTTTTATCCCTGAAGAAGTGTCCTGTTATTCGTTATCAGCTTTCATCAGAAGCAGCGAAGACACTTGCAGAATGTGTTAAGGTGTGGCATTCTCTGTCTGCTTCCAGAACATCAAGGCCATTCATTTCTCTGTCATATTTCTGAAACTATCAGGAGTGTGTTCTGTACAGCCAAGGAGGAGATGATGTGTAGGCTTACTGACAAAGAAATAGGTCTAGGAAATCTAAAATAATTAGAGCTCAAGCTACTAGAGTTAACCTGTGAAATATCCATAAACTGTTTAACTTTGGAGGTCTAGTTAAACCACTTAGGAAGTAGGGTTGGAAGTCCTAGCATCTTACATGAAGCTTTTGAATCCTTTTATGGAAGGCCTATGAAGGCATGAACTGCCAAATATGGTTTTTCTATGTTTTCTAGTTTTATCATCCTTCTCTGGAACTAGCTGGTTGATCAAGCCATCTTTGTCTTACCACAGCAAGTGATATCTAAAGAATATGAGCTGTTCGAATTCCGCCGGACAGAGGTTCCTCCATTGCTGCTTATTTTAGATCGCTGTGACGATGCCATCACCCCACTGCTCAACCAGGTACAGAGCCTTTTGTCAACGTAATAGGAGGAGGAGGATTTTAAATGACGTTCACCAAAATGTACATGTGAGAATAAGACTATGGTGCATTCTGTTTGCCTCCTTATTTTCATCTGTTCTTCTTCTTTGCCTTATATTTCCTGGTGTCTGGGGAGCACTGTTTTTCCTGCCACACTTATTGTTAACTGCTTCTTCTGCCACATCCTTTTTGTCCTCACTGCCACTACTCTTACCCAAGCTGAGGCAGCTTCTAAACTCTGGATTCTAATTTCCAGTGTTCCCTTCTGTCTCAGTTACTCTTCTCTTGCTGGGACGAATACCCAACAGCCAAATTGAAGGAAGAAAAGATTTACTTAGTTCACAGTTAGTAGAGGTTTCAGTCCATACTCAGCTGGCTCCAAAGCAGCCTGGCACATGGCAGAGAGCAACCTTTCATGGTGGTGACAAAGAGCAAGAGCAAGGGAGGGTAGCAGCAGCTCAAGCAGCTAGTTTCTCTTCACATCTTACATTATTATGTAAATTATCTGCCCCAGGGCATGTGCAGCATCCACACCCAAATAATCAAACTCCAGAACCTGCCCCATGACTGCATGAGGCTTTGGGGGACACTTAGACACAAACCATAACACCTTCTGTCTGCCTTTTCCTGTGTTTGTTGCTATTGCCTTAGTGTAAACCCCACTGTCTTGCAGGAATATTGAAGTAGTCATCTGCTTGATTCCTTTGAATGTCTTTTCTTAGCCCACAGACCCGGTGTTTAGTTAAAATACCTTTCCTAAAGCAGAGGTCCAATCCTATTGCTCCTGACTTAAAATATTCCTTGGTTTCCATTTGCATACTTGCTTAAAGACAAACTCCTGACCAGGCATGGTGGTGCACACCTGTAATCCTAGCACTTGGGAAGCTGAGGCAGGAAGATCACTGTGAGTTTGAAGCCAGCCTGAGTTCATAGTGGGTTCAAGACCAGCCTGAACTACATGGCAAGTCCCTATTTCCTAAATTTGCCATCAAAACTTTTGTAATGTGCCCTAAACCTTCTATTAAAGTTTCAGCTTACTGCTACATAGATGTCATGTGTTTATTCATTTGTTTGTTTGTTTCCATCATGATTTTATTATGACCACTGTCTAAACTCTGGAATGTTGGGAATACTTTATTGTCTCGAGATCCACATAACATATTCTCAAAGCTTTTATTCCTTTAGTCAAGCATGGCTTTTTTTCTCCCTAAAATCAAAGTAGATAGAGCTTTGTATCTGTGTTATGTCTCATGAGCATTGCCAAGGTGCATCTTTGGCTGTTTTCACTCTTTCCTATAGTGTATGCCCCTTTAAGGCAGTCCACATCTTAGCAGTGTTTGTTCTGCAAATACAAACACAATTCCTTTGGTTTTATAGGAAAAAAACACAAATCTATGCTTCATTTTCTTCCCAGATTAATAATGTTAATGCTGTGCCTGCTGCAGCTACGCATTTACTAAAAATGATAATATTAATGCCAAGGAATACCTGTGGCTGTGTAGTGAAACTCTTCTGTAAAATAGCCTTATATTTCTTTTTTTTTCCTTTTTTTAAATAGCCCTATATTTCTAAAATTCAAAATAATTATATTTACTAAGAAACATTCAATAATATAAAGACATAAAAATAAAAAAAATGCCTATAGTTCTTTCTATGGAAGAAAAAGTTACCATTCATTCAGTAAATTTGACTGAGAACCTGTTATGTGCTATGTACTCAACTAAGTACTAGAAATAAAAGGTTAAAAGACACATTCTCTGCCCTCAAAGAGTTCATGGTAAAATGAGGAGTGAAAAAGGCGTATAGTTTTAATTATAGAGTAAGTCTGAGCATGGTGGTGCATGCCTGTAATCCAGCCCTTGGGAGGCTGAAGCAGGAGCAGGTAGCCTGGGCTACATAGTGCGAGTTCAGCCTCAACTGCATAGCGAGACCCATCTCAAAAAAAAAGGCAGAGAAAGAAATCTTTGTTTCTTTCCAATTTTAACAAATTTACATTTTGTAAGACAGGAAAGCAATCCTTCACAATTCATACTAGGTAAAACTATTTTAAAAAATGGATTCAGAACCAAGTTTCTGAATGTTTTGATCAACCCACAAGTTTTTTTCTGATAATATTAGTGTTCCCGGGATAAATATAGCACCACTCAGATCTGTAAGAACACATTTATGCTGCAGAAAAACCACAGAAGCATACAGGAAATGATACAGCGTGTAACTGAGTACCAATATAGCCCTATCTGTGAAGACAAAAATATTCTTAATTCACAGGCAAAAATTAGAGCTAATGATCTTATTTGTTTTCTATCAAGAATATTAATCTTGCTGCTCTTCTTCCTAAAATGCAAAATCTAAAACTATTTTCACTTTTGAGTCAATGAAAATAACAATCTTAATTGTAGTTATAGCAGAAAATATTAATAAAATATGAGCTAAGTAGAGAATCTTCACATAAAGCATACTAGTTACTAAGAATGCTATCAATTTTTTGATTTCTTGATTTACCATTTCATGTTTTTGTCAGTTATCCATTATTTTGTCATAATTCTTTTTTAGTGGACATATCAAGCCATGGTCCATGAACTACTGGGCATAAACAACAATCGAATTGATCTTTCCAGAGTGCCAGGAATCAGCAAAGACTTAAGAGAGGTCGTCCTGTCTGCTGAAAATGATGAATTTTATGCTAATGTAGGTGGTTTCCAATTTTGCTTGTTTTTATGTAAGAAAATCACTGGCATGCTATGCCAGCCCTGACCCCCGGGGTGTGCTGAGATGGGGACTGAGACTGCGTGTGATAGCACACACCCGAAATCCCAGCACTTGAGAGGCTGAAAATAGGAGAATCACTATGAGTCCAATCTGTGTAGTGAGACCCTGTAGATCCTGTACTAAATATATTTTAAAAAAAGAAAATCAGTATTTGCTTGTTAAAAATGGAAAAGACACAGAATATCATGTGGAAGGATAATAGAGGCATCCTATAGATGCCACCTCAAGTGAAGGCAAAAGACTTGGATTTTGACTCTTTAACAACATTTTTTTCCTTAGAAATCACAGTTATTTACTTCCATCTCTTCCAGTAGTTCTTTGTGAGAATAATGGTGGTATTCATCACTGGTGTCCTGGCTAGTGTCCAAATTGGGTAATTAAAATGGAATTTGCCCTTCAATTCTGTGTTCAAGATTCTTTTTCATTTCTTTTAATTGTCTGAAAGAGTAATTGATGAACTGTGCTTCATCATTCTTTTTCACAGAATATGCACCTGAACTTTGCCGAGATTGGTAGTAATATAAAGAATCTCATGGAAGATTTCCAAAAGAAGAAACCAAAAGAACAGCAAAAACTAGAATCAATAGCAGATATGAAGGTAAATCAAATATATACATGGATGATTTATATATGAGAGTTTGGAACTAATCATGTAAGAAACATTTATGGAATCCTTTGGGTCTGAGTTCTACCTTGATACATTTTATTTGATTTGATACATTTTCTGTAATGTCTCTCTTTAGTAAGTAATGTAGTGAAAATTCATAAGCCATGTGTGTCTATCCATTCCTCACCTTATTTGTAGTCTTTGAAGTTGCATCTATTAGGCTGAACATGATGGTGCACATCTGTAATCCCAGCAGTTGGGAGGCTGATGCAGGAAGATTGCCATGAGTTCAAGGCTTGCCTGGACTATAGAGTGAGTTCAAGGCCAGCTTGAGCAACATAGCAAGATCCTGTCTCAAACAACAACAGAAACAAGATGCATCTATTGCTGTATGCAAGCTTTTCTCTTTTTAAACAGAGTACCATGTTATTGAGAGTTTTAAGTGCTTCAGTCTGGGCAGAAAAACAACCCCAGCATTTAAAAATTCCTTCTTTTACATGCCTATCCCCAGCCAGAAAATAACAGAATTTTGTTATTCTGTTTAATTAATGTTTTTCTCATATGGCAGGCCTTTGTTGAGAATTACCCACAGTTCAAGAAGATGTCTGGGACTGTGTCAAAGCATGTGACTGTGGTTGGAGAGCTGTCTTGATTGGTCAGTGAGCGGAATCTGCTGGAGGTTTCTGAGGTTGAACAAGAACTAGCCTGTCAGAATGACCACTCAAGTGCTCTCCAGGTCAGTCCTATTTATGAGCACCAACTTTGTATAAGACAGTGTGCTGGGCTGAGCAAGAGATACAAAGGCAAAGAATGTTTCTTCACCAACACAGATAAGTTTAACGAGGAGTTAAGACAGGAGCACAAATGAACACCGTATAAGACAAGATTTACAATCAGAGCGGCAGAAGAGTATAATGTGCATTCCCAGAGTTATTTAGTTAATTGAGTATTTATAAGGGTTACCTAGTTTACTAGAAAGACCACTAGACTAGAGTCAGGTGATCTAGATACTCGTGTTTGGTTTAGCAATACTGGCCCTATGACCTGCAGCTGCTGACTTAGTCTCTGAACTGGTTCCTCATTTGGAAAGTAGGCATAATATTAATTCTCTCACAGGCTTATTAGGAAGACATGGAAAGATAAAATGTATATTAAAATGCATTATATAGGTTTTCTTTTAATTACTAGAGATTACTTTTCTTCTTTCTTTTTTTGGTGTTGGGAATCTAACTCAGGACCTCGCACAGGCAAGCACTGTGCTGCTGAACTACATCCCTGGCCTGAGATTGCTCTTCATTCCACAGACATGTGAATGCCTGCTACAAGTGGTTACTGTTATGAGGATCTAGGATTGCAAAGATGAATAAGATACTACCCTTTTCCTCAGTGTGCTCACACTACAGGAAGAAAGAAATTATATAAAATTATAATACCATGCAGTAATTACTTTATTTGTACAAGAATATGGAAATACTGAGGAAGGACAACTGTTTTCCCCAAGGATAAGGCTTCTGAAAGCTTCTTAGAGAAGATGACATGAGACCTGGGTTTGAACAGATAAGTAAGTGGAGAAAAAGGAGAAACATGAACACTCAGCAGAATAGTTCACTGCAGATAGTGCAAGTTGTAAGCTGAAGAGTTTGATAGATAAACTGGAAAGACAGGTTGGGACCAATTGATGGCCATTGAAAGGAGGTTGGACTTTAGTCTCAAAATGATGAGAGTTACAAAGGATTTTAGAAGAAAAATGACATGATCAAACCCTGACCTCTAGAAATTTTCTAGTCTACTTGAAGAGATAAAGCCTAGGTACAAGCCAGGCATGGTAAGGCCAGAAGACTGCACAAGTTCCAGGTCAGCCTGGGTTGCATAGTAAGTTCAAAGCTAGCCTGAACTACAGGGCAAGACACTGTCTCAAAAAACAAAAACAAAAATTGTGCTTCAAGATACTAAGCCATAATTGTGATATTGACTATAATAGGCTTTCATATTATTAGGAAGAGTTTCTTAGATAAAGCAGTATTAAGATGGTGCTCACAAAGTATGAATAGAATCTGAAGGAGGATTTCAGTCAGGAATAATAGCAAAAGCAAAGATGCACAAGTATGCAGGAAATAATAAACATTTGACCTTTTGAGAGTGGGGGTAGAAAAGAAATAAAAGATAGAACTGAATCAGTAAACAGGAACCAGCTTATGAAGAAGCTTATAAAAGGATTTTGTACTTGCTGAGGTAGGCAGAAAGGTCCAGTGTAGGATCTTGTGTAGAAAGTTGTTATGAAAACAGTATTTTAGGAAATTTAGTCTAGTAAGGGTGAAGTGAAAGTGAAAAGCAAAAGTCAGGTTTACAAACTTATAGTAATGAAAATGTGTATAGTAACAGGCAACTTTGAGAGACATTGACAAGGGAGGAAACAAGTGACAAATTGGATGGAAGGATAGAATGGCAGAACAAGTAGAGGTAATTCTGAGGTTCCTGAGAATGACAAAATGTAGTGTCCCTAACTAGGAATTCAGGAAGAAGTGTCCTTTAGGAGATACTCATTTCTAAGACACTTAGAAGAAGCACATTTTCTCATTTGTAGGATTCTATATTCTAAAACTTAACTTTTCTTTCCCTGCTGCAGTTCTTCTCTATTCCACAAAATGAAGCCAGCTTGGTATACTGGAAATGGCACAGGCCTTGACTTAAATCCTGCCTTTATCAAAGTTTCTTGAGGAAAATTACTGACTTTGCCCAAGCATCAGGGATAGGAAATGCAGACCTTCAGATTGTGGATTGGGTGCATTATATAAAATGTTTCCCATATTACAGACATTTTGTAAATGTTGGTTCCCTTCCTCAAAGCATAACATTTTTATCTATAATGTGATCAAAACAAAGAAATCCAACTGTAGCTACTTATGTTAAGATCTTTACTGAGATTTACAATTTTGGTGTTAATTTTTGAAGATGTTTGTTGAGGTTTCCTCTAAAAGCGCCACCATTTTGTAAATCATACTCTACATGTTAAGTACTTTTCAGCACTGTTTTAGTTTTTGTCGCTGTGATCTCAAATTTTCACAGAGAATTCTCCTTTATACTGGCATTTTTAAAGCATACTAACTTCTAATTCTTCATAATTAAATAAATGTTTGGTGAGGGAGGAGTATAATAACAGCTGAGTCTGTTAATAAGGAATTTAAAAGTTGTAGCTTTTTGTTTCAGTTCTGTGCTGCTGGGGATTGAATTTAGGATGTTCTACCACTTAACTTTATCCCCATCCCTTATTTTTTATTTTGCAGCAAGGTCTAACTAAATTGCCCCAACTGGCTTTGAACTTGTGATTCTCCTGCCTCAGCCTCCTGAGTAGCTGGATTGTAGGCACACTTCACCACCACAGGGTGTTAATCATTTCGTATACAGCCTTACAGTTACTCCACATATGTGCAGGGTGGCATGTCTGTCTGTCTTTTAGCTCTGTTGTCCACATACTCTACATAGAGTTCTGCTTTTGTTTTTTCACTTAACCATGTATCTCAGAGACTGTTAATAGAGCAGAACCTAAAGGCTCCTTCTTTTAAACTGTTAAATAGTATCCTTTGTAAAGTGTACTGTACCATAAATTATTTAACTTAGCTAACTTACTTTAAACAACCCTATCAATAGTAATTCATAGTTGTTTTGTGAGTCTAATAGAAGTATTTCTGTATTTATCTCAATGTAATGAGTCTTATGCTTCTTACTAAATAAAAACAAATGTTTTCCTTGTAACTAAATTTAAATTTGTTTCTTTATCATTTGATTTTTTTTCCCTTTAAGACAGAACTTAATCACTAATCCATTTTAAAGTATTTGTGTCTCTCTACTGTATGGAAATTAGTTAGGAAAAATTATTGTAACTTCTTGCCTGAAATTTTACTTTATGTTCACTTTAAAAGTAGATATTTTTAAAATATAAGCTCTACTTGTGATCTACTTTATATTTCTAAAATTTACATTTTGAAGATTTTCTTGTCCAAGATACACTATTGTGGATTTACAGTAAGCAGTAGACTTGGACTTCCTTACCATAAAGGATTTCTTTGGCAGCGTGATTTAAATAGCCAATAAAAGGAACTTTTGTTTGATAGTGATTGGATTCCAGAGTCTGACTCCTAGATGGGTTATAACATTCCTTGGCTTGACCTTAGATAGTAATTTGTTATAAAGCAGTGAATTGAGGTTTTTGAGTAGAGATTGGGTTTGTTTTACTGAATAGTAAGCATATTGTGGTAAGAAAAAAATGCTCATCTATTGCTAAAAATTAACTTATAAATTACTGCCATTTCTAATCTATCATCCTACAGACTAACAAAATTTTGATTGAGAAAAAATTTCACTAGAACCAAAGTACAGTGTATTATCGTTGAAGCCTATCATCAAAAGAGCTTTGATTTGTAAAGATTTTTCATATCATGAGGAGAAACTTAAGAAAGTGAGCAATCTCCAACCCCATTCCACCCATGTTTTCATAGCACAGCCTTTCACTTAGGAGAAACCAATCTATTTTATATCCTTCTTTTTTGACCTTGATTAAAAAATCTCAAATTGTAGTGTTAGTGAAACATAGTAAAGACTCAATAAATATTTGTTAGAAAAATGAGGAAAAAAGGTTCATTGAAGAAATATGGAATGATGGCTAAAACCATGGGCCTCTGATGATATGGATTTGAAAATAATTCATTCTGTCTCTGT